AATCAATATTACTTGGAGAGTTTTAGGTAACTATAGGCATTCCATGGATGCTGAAGCTGGGAGTGGGGATATTCCCTGGCAACTTTAATAGTGGAAGGGACAATTAGAATACAGTTTTGTTTATTAAAGAGACAGTATTAAGAATTAAGTGTACATTTTATTAGTTATATGACCGAAGTCATGGCACTTCAATTTTCTCAGTTGGTGAGAATCAGCTGAGATAATGTGAAAACACTAAAAATCGTGACAGTCTAGACAAACATAAGTTATAATAACCCATCCCTTCAAAAGGGAAAAAGGAAAGGGATAAAGGGATGGGGAGAAAAGATTAAGAGACTTTTACTTTCATTAACTCTTCTCCTAAATCAAAATAAAAATTCTTTGCTTTGCCCATAGATTTGCCCCATTTCTATTAAACACAATCATCCTCAACTCTTAGTCTTTTCAAACCAAGTACCAATTTCCTTCATCTGCTGATGTATCCAAATGGCAATTTTATTTAATTATTTGAAAAACCAAAAGCTACCCATTGGATTACAGTTGGGAGGGAGAGTAGAATACAAATAGAAATATGCAAATAAAAAATTTTGATCATTCTAACTAAAAGCATAATATCTTTACCTCTCATTTACATGCAATAATTAAACAGGACAAGAAAGTGAAGACTAACCAGATTACTCTGTATTGAAATATACTGCCACAACGTACAAAGAACTAAGGTATACTGGGAAAGGAGAAAATAAATAGGCTTGTCCTTTATGGTTTACAAAGTATTTTAACATGCATTACCTCTCTCAAACTATGTAGCAACCTGTAAGGCAAGTAGAAATTACCTATATTTAACGAAGAAAACCAGGTTTCAAGGAAGTTAACTATCTTGTCCCAAATTAAAGGACCTATCAAGGACCTTACTATGAGCACATCTTGTGGCTTCCAGTATCACTACATTAGCAGTTATGTTTTAGCAGTTTATTTGGTGGTGGGGACATGGGGAAAACAGCAGAATCCCTCTTACAAATGAAATCTTACACTGAACCTGAACTATGAAATATATAAATATACAAAACAATGATTTTTATAAGTGTTTTATAAGTGTTTTAATGATAAAGTAACAGTTATTGATAAGTTTGTGTCCTCACAAGCAAAAATTTAACATGAATAGGTATGTACAGAAAGGAATTTTTTTTAAAGGCCAGTGCCCTCAAAATCAATGACAATCTTTCTCATTAATGTCATATTAACAAAAAAGTTCAAATATATGTACAAATGTAGCAGAACAAGTTTTAATTCAAAGCCTGCACAAGAATAACATTGTAGCAAAAGATAATCTTGTAAATAATGTTAAAATTTGGTAAAACATATTACGGGGCAGCTATTTTTTAAGTTATAATTTTAAATGTACTTAAAAATGTAATCCAATGCAAGCGTTTTTGTACACTAAAGTATTTTGGGGATCCATTAAAAGCAGTTTGTAAACCATTACACAGTCGTTTGTTGTCATAAATTCACTGCTTAATCTCTGCTTAGTTCATTTAGGACAAAATGAAGTAAAAAACACTTTTTGACAATCAAAATTATGTACATAATAAACCTGATTAACCAAGGAAGAATAGCCACTAATCCATAGTCAAAACAATCCATTCTATTTGCTGAACCATATAAAATTGCTATTAACTAACAATTTGGACTGTAAACTATGAGGTTCATATGGTTCAATCTAATACTTCCCATTTTATTTTAGTCTCTTTACTTATAAAACCATTAAAAAGTTGTCAAAATAAGTGATTATATAAGCAAAGTAGAAAAGTGCAATAACCAACACACACACATCACTAGAACTAACTAAACATATTAAGAATTTTAAAATATTAAATTCTTTATAGTGCAGAGTTTTCTTCACTTTGGTAGCATTAACTGCTTAATACTCAAAGTATATTGTAATATGATATCTTTTATTTATTGGAAAATGAGTGAACTGACAATTACCTACCTTTCTTAAAGCAGTTTGGCACTCCACTTTAAAATTTATCTAGCTGTCCCTGGAACTTCTTCAAGTAAAATGCATTATACTTCGAAACTCATTAACTTTTCCAAAGTAAATATAAGCATTTCCTCTTTTATTAAAAACTTTATTGAATTATTTCACTGAAAACAAAATCAAGTTAGACTTTGTAGGAGTTTTAGATCTGAGGACAGTTTTGTTTGTTTCCTTCTATGGTTTACCTTTCCATTCTTTTTACTGGCCTAAGGTTACCAAATTAGGTATATTTAATATTTTAAGTCTTTATTTTGGAGGACACTAAATCAAAATTGTAAAGGGATTACTAAGAATAAATGTGATTCCCATACAATATACAATTCAATTTTCAGATAGTGGGATAAACCAAATTATTTCATGTGAAGGTGAATCCAGTTCTTTTGAAGATTCCTCCAAATTCAACACACTGCAACAAATTAAGCCACTTAGAGAAGAAGGCATCATCATGTCACATATAAAGGTGACTCTTCCCTGATCATTAATGAGGATTATAACAGCAAGAGTAATTCACACTGGGTGTGCATGAATTTCATTCTTCCATTATGAACTACACTGAACAAAAACTCAAAATGCTATGACTCACTTGGTTATTACTGAACACTTTATTAAGTGGAAAACACAGGATAAATTCAGATAATCACATTTTGAGAGTTGTAGATGAATTTTATTTATATACTTCCTATCAAAAAGAAAATCATCTATTAGAAACAAATTCTACGTTCTATTTTTAGAATGATGAAGAATTTAAAATGCTAAACACTTGATATCTTTTAAGAGCACTTAAGAATAGTACTCTTAAAAAGCTACAAGTGCTGCCAAGTCATGTCATAACTGGCTCAAACAGTCCCATTTGCATCTAAAGCCACTGCATGCTACTACATGAATCAATATTAAATACCTCTTGGAGTTACTAAAAATTGGAATATTGGCAGAGGTATGTACAGTAAAATATGAAAATGGTGACTATCCATTTTCCATATACCTCTTTTAATGTCTAGATATAATGAAGATGTCCTTTCTAGGCAAATAGATATAATTTGTTTAAAAACTAATAGCTTCTTGGCCTTTGGCTAAGATCAAGTGTAATTTCTTCAAAAGCTAAAAGAAAGATATAAAGAATACTAGCAAAGTGTGATGGATCCACAGGCATGGTTCTCTCAAAAGAAAGATAAAATAGATTTTGAAGCCTAATATTTTGAAGCCTAACATTTTATAGCCTATCAAATTGCCAGAGTCATTAAAAAAATCAAAATCAATTAGCTTTTCCCTTATTCGGTTAAAAAAAAAAATACCTAGCTGTTATTTTAATCAGGCTTGAGTTTAATCAAACGTGTCTCAAACAACACTTTTTTTCATGTTAAAGACATAACTTATCACTTTTAAAGTCAGGAAATAATAATAATCATTTTATGAAAAGCTTAGTTCAGATGACGTCTGGCCCTGAAGTGAAAGAGTTAACATTCAACTAAGCTGATCTGCACTTCTGATCCACTACATTTTTCACAAGCTGCCTTACAATGAGCTGAACAAGTATCAACTGTAATTTGATCCCAGAGTTTATGGAAAAAATAACTGCACATACTCGACATGCACATTTAATAAAAATCTGTTTCAAGAAAAACATACCCAATAAAAACAATTTAAGGCATATTTAATTGTTCGATTAACTTCAAATCTGCAATCCCTTTGCTTCACGCTCTCTAATAAAACAGAAAAAAAAAAAAAAAAGGCAGCAACCCTACTGCAGGGAAAAGAGGCTTGAAAAACAACTTTGATTGGCACTTGGCCTGACCCGCAGAGGAAGAAAAACAGTTTTTGGACAAAGAACGCCAATATTTGAGCTTGCTTACTTACATGCATTTTCCTTTTTTTAATATATAAAGAACAATCTCAACTGAACTGTATTTAGAGATATTGACTAAAAACGGTGCCGTATTCACCTCAGTCTTTCAGTCCGGATGCATTTGCACAGCTCAGCAATTTTAATTCATTGGTACTGGACAAACAGAAGCACCTCAACTAATGTTTTCACTCAATGAAATATAAAAATAGTTTGGATAAGAACGAACTGAATAAAATATCATCTAGTAGCCACTGTTAAAGTCTGATTAAAAGCTTTAAAAGCGACATCTTTTCGCCCCTCCCCCTCTCTTAACGGAGCGATTAAGCCAAGTGAGCTAAACAATACTGGAGTAAACTTTCCATCAGTCACCCTGGGAAGCAATAAGCTGATTGTGCGTCTAATTTTTTCTGGATCAACACGGGGGAGAGCGGGGTGCTGGGCAGGGGGGCGGATAACTCGCTTTCACCTCCATCTCCTCCTCCCCCAACCCCAGCCTGAGGAACTGTAAGGTCGAATAGCATTTCCCATGGGCATAAAGTTCAAGCTGCTTTACCAGTTCCTTTCAAGACTGAGCTAGAGACACAAGACGATCATCAAAAGAATGTAAAAAGGGGGTGTTAGGCGAGAACACGCAAGAAGGCACAAGCAACCGAGTAAACAAAAACACCCGCAAGAGTTAGCCACCGAGAAGAGGGAGCCAGCCAGGTTCCTCAAGGCCAGACCTGGCTGTTCTGATTTCACACCGACCTCCATCAACAGCACCGAGAGGAAGACCGAACAGGTCCCCTCGCTCCCTCCGCGGGAGGAGCAGGCCGGGGGTTTCAAGGTAAGATGAGCGGAAAAACGGAATACAGGCGCCCCCCCCCCCAATCACCACCAGGGCCACCAAAAAAATCCCCAACCCATCGGGACTAGCGTCTGTCCTGGTGGAGATAAACAGCAGCAGCAGTCTAACCTCTCCACCCTCAACTCACGCCCCCTTTTTCGGTCTTGGCGTGGGGAAGGTGCCCCGGGATCCCTCGGAGCCTCGCCCCAAGACTGCGCCCCAGGGCCGAGCAGCCCGAGCCTCGGCCGGCAGGAAGCGCCCCTTTCGAGCTGGACCCCAGGCCGAGCCCGTACCTTCCGCAACACTTTCCGGCAGTTGGTACAGAGCATGTAGTTGGCGGCGGCCGACGGGCTGCTGCCGCCGCGGTTCATCGTGGCTGCGGGCACCGAGGGCGGATGGC